TATGTTGGAGAAGTATTTTTTATTTTTTTGGATAATTCGACTGGGACGGCCGGTACGAATAAAAGCGCGGCCACTGTGGGGAACGTATCGTATAATATTAATAACTTTTTTTTTTTTTTTTTTTATACATATATACGGGTTGCGTTTGTTCTTCGTGATATTGTTTCGCAAGTATGTTTACTAATATTAATGGTGAATATTATATCAGTACCTAGGCGTACGTCATCATTAATTCATCGAAACACCTGATATTGTAAATTTTCTAACCATCAAAATAGGTGCGGGTATATAGATACTGTACTTAATATTTTATCATCGAAACTTTAGCCCGTGAAAGTTTTAAACTATATAAGAACGGGAGACGTATACACACGAAACAAAACCCTATGCACTATAGATAAATTCTTACGGATTTTCGACTGCGGTACGAGCGATGTATAGCTAAGGTAAATATTATTTAGACATTATTATGCGGAGTTTACGTATGGCAAATAAACTGGATAATATACAATATATAAAATCGGATTCGCGTATAACCCAAATGGATACTAAATAAAAAACTAGACAATTTTCAAATCGCTTTAAATAACCTAGTATAGATAATCGGCGAAGGTGTCCGGTATATCAACGAGGTTTTGTGCTTTGCTAGGCAAGTGTTAAAACCTGAACACCAGCCGCATTATTATTCTCCCGTTCTTTCTACTCAACAATTGTCTTTGTTGGCTGACAGAAGAGTACAAGCTAATTTAACTTTTATTTCCCATCTACTCTCAGGTAAAATCGACTCCGAAAATCTTCTCTCTTGTGTTTATTTAAAAATCCCTAATTCGGACACGCGCAGTGACTACACGTTCTACATTCCTGGTTGTAACACAAACTACGCTGGAAATGAGCCACTTGTAAGAATAATGCGGATTGCCATAATTGAACCGCCTCACCATTCTTAATTAATTTACTGTACTATTATTTATAATTTCTGTTAATTGTTGTTGTTCATTATGTATTTCGGTGTTTTTGTTTGTTATTGTATCCTTTATGCGATATTTCGACTATGTATTAAATGTTAAATGTTCGTAGTAGTGTAAGCATTAAGCTGCCAGCCTAGTGTACGTTCAATAAAATCGAAATGAAATCATTTTAAACGACAGAAACCGTTATTGCGTAAAGTGTTCTGTTTTTCCCGGTCATTCCGCATTCTAAGGAAAATCGACAATAATTATGGCCGTGTCAATCCACAAACTAGACCCAAAATGCTACAAAAAAATTATCTTGTTTTACGATTGGAGTAAGATTTCTGGAAGGAAATATTTCGTTTTCGGACGGAAAAAAAAAACACACGCCATGCAATAAAACTAAGACTTTCTTCGTGGCGTTCGGAATCAAAACGACGTCTATACCTAAAACGTGTTTTGAATTTCCGCTCGGTATTTCTTTATTCAAAAACGATAATTGTTCCTAGATTGCCGACAGTTTTTCCAATATTTTTTAACACCGTTAATTTCTGTATGGTCAGGTCATCTTGGCTATAGTAAGGGGAAAACGACGGGACGGAGTTCCGCTCAGAATCGGTTCTCGGTTGCCCGGAATGGTCGGCATAACACAAGCGAAATAATTACCGTGATATCCGCGGCCCGAAGTTGTCGTTAAATATCGTGACGAATTTAATAATGGATTCGGACCTAACAGTGTCTAATACAGTAGTACGCTCGGGTCCCTTAAATCAGCCGTTGTTTAAAATCCGAAATTAAAAACCGGCGGTGTTGGTGAAAACGCACGCGACCCGCGTCCCGAAAACTGTTATATATCAATATTGTTGTTATAAACACGCTGGCGAATCCGACGGGGTTTCGCGACAGAAATATTGAAAATATTTTCCTAACAGATCCGGTTAATCTGTACGCGAAAAGCCCGGGCATTTGACCGGGATTTGACAGCAAATTTTCTCGGCCGACCGTAAAGTTGTAGCAATAATAATAATATTGTGACGGCCGCCGGACGTGATTATCCTGCAACGCGTGTGCCATGTCATTTTAAAATAATGCATATATTATAACGTAATATAATATTATGATTTTGACCTTCCGAATTTCGCCTATTAAATATGATATGCTCTTTTTATGTTGTTTTTTTTTTTCTATATATTATACTATGTAATGCTAATATTCGTAGTAGCTATACTTTTTTTGGAACGCGATGTTTTACGCCGCATATGCATACACGTTTTGTAAGTTGAGTTAATTTTTTTCCAGAAAATAAAGAAACAATATCATTATTTATATCCGTCGCCACTAGTCCGCCAAATGTCTATCTTGGTAAAGTTTTTGTCGAATTTTCGTACGAAAGGTTAAAAACTAATAAAAACTGGAATTTTTCAGACGCTTTATACAGTTTCAAGGAATTTCGGCTTTGAACATCGGAGTGCATGTGTGATCCAAAAGACGTTTTCCTCGTTCAAATAATAATAGAAAACAAAAAACATACAAATCTATCTATTTTACGAGACGTGTGAGAGTTACAATTACGTTTATTTAATCACTCCAATCCGCCTAAAAACAATTACATTTTTTCCAGAGACAGCCATTCGATATCCAAAATTGTGTGTATTCATTGCAGACACAGTACAGTGCGTCAGTCTTTATTTTTGTTTATGGAAAATTTGACCAAGAAAATCAAATTTACCTTTTTTTTTTTAAAAAACACATCTTAGGAAAACTATAATATATGAATAATAGCTTTCTCGGTCCATTCAGAATCCATAACTCAAGGGCTCCTGCCAAAAAAAAAAAAACCAAATTCTGGTCAAGGCGTTGGTATATATGAAATGCGAGGTTTTGGTCGTGGGGTTTCGAGTCGTTGGAATACGACGTGGCTGCGTCCCCTGCGGTGTTTTTCCCCCCGTAACTGTGCAGAAACCGATAACCGATATCGCGCGGTACCACGGGACGTCGGAAAATCATTTAAAATCGATGACGCCACGCCGAAAACTATGTTTGTACACGATATTATATTGTATAAATTTACTGCCGTTGGTATGGAATAAAAATGTCTGGTTTTTTTTTTTTTTTAGCATTATTGTGTAATGTGTACACTCGCAAGTTTATTTTCCGTATCGGCTCGCGCTGCTGGGTCGGTCAGATTAGATTTCGCGTGCTCTTTGACTCGGAGAATATATATATATATATATGTGCGCTCATATGAGGAGGGGATGATGAATTTTTAATATTAGCTTTATACTCGGACAACGAGTATTCGTGAATTTTTTTCGTTGTCGGGGATAATTCATTTTCGACCGTCGAAAAACTCGCGAATGTAACCCGCGAATGGTCTTTTCAATCGTAAAAAACCATAATACGTGTTTTTTACCAGTGGTTTGTGTCAAACTAGTTATTAAACGATTTTTCGGATAGAATGTTAAAATGCGAAAAAATTAACCGTACATTTTTTCGACTCCCGTGATATTAAATCCCCACCCCTAACCCCCACGATAAAATTTCAATAGTAAATATTCACTGTTCATGGTAAATTTATTCTCGTAGTAAACGTCACTATGGATTATTTACCCTTTTTTCCCCTCTTAACATTTTACCGAGAAGATCACATTTCTCTAGTAAAATTTTACCCCGGTCAAATATCACACGTGCCAATAATCGCTGGTGCTTCGGGACTAGATCGCCGACATACTTCGAAAGCTGGTCGGATTCTGTAACTGTATGTGTATCGTGTTATATTTTGAATATATTGTTGGTTTATCCGGAATAAAACCGCGACCGCAAACCAAGAGCTTTTGCAAGTTCCGCATCTTAAGACATTGCGTGCGGTATACGTTTAAGACATTTAGCGATGCGACAAAAATCTGCATCGGATTTCGGGTACCCTTTCGGCTGGCGGCGCGTTCGAAGCACTCTCAAACTTCGTCCTATACACTAACAATATCTTATATAATAAACTACTAAATACAACTCAAAGTCTTTTAATCCATCGTTCTCTCCCTACCCTCAACTCCCTGCCTACCACTTCCCATCACGTCGTCCTCGTTTCCGTAACGATACGCCTCCTTAAGTTTTATGCGAAAAACAATCGTGTTCGTATATATATATATATATATAATTATATTTTATAATATTGTAATCCTAGAGGGCGCCGTTTTCGATACAATAGACGTCACGGCGTAACCGCTGGCAGAGAATATATGCACAGACGGTGGCAAGTAGATAGGTACTTATAATTTTTCTTTTCTTTTTTCTTTTTTTTTTTCTCCAAACCCGATGAAATCGAACCGTTTTTATAATCCGAAACTAATTGCGGAAACGCCAAAACGTGGTCGGCGGGTTTTCGCGTCCGGTCGCCTATATTATACTCGTAATGCTATAGTTGAAAATTAAAAAAAAAAATATATATACATATTACCTATTGTGTGTAATAAACACGGTTTTGTTCGGAAACAATATCCGTATTGTTTACCCCAGTTTTTAATCCTCTTCAAATTACATTAAATTTAAAACGAAAAAATATTCAAGCCGGTCTAACCCGAACACAATATCATCGTGTGACCTGCTGCTTAGGTTCACTACCTATTTGTCACTAGTCCAGTTTGATGTATTGCACGTTACTACAGAGCGAGGCACAATTTGTTATTTCATATTCGTTCAAATTTATTTAGTTTTCCAAAGAGATAACGCAATAGCATGTTTATTTCTATCAATATATAGTGCGATTCGTATGAGTATAAGACGTGAATAATCCGTAATCTGGGATCACGAATCACGTCGGTGCGATAAAACCACCAGGGGTCAAAATAATAAACGGTTAGACGGCGAATAATGACCGTCAAACTGAATCGCCGAATCGGTTGTGAAACTAACGATTGGAGCTCTGTCGGTAGTAATTTTTTGAACTATACCGAACCGGATCAAAATTGATTTTAGATTCGGAGCGTAGCGAGGGATCTATTATGATGAGTGTTTTTTTCCCTTTTTTTCTGCTTGTAAAAAACTTCTCGAAAAGAAATCTTGCGCCGATGTAACTTTTCTGAAAGGAAATTTCGTCTAGTGGCAGTCGCACTGCGGTCGCTAGCAAGTGGAAACCCGTTCACGAGCCCAGCGTATTCCTTCACAATATCTAAACGGGCACACTGTCCGCCCTGTGGACATTTTGCTTGAATTGTCCTAAGTCGCACGCGGTCTCCCATTGCGATCGGGAGACTTTAGATCTGCGTGTTCCAGTAACAGTAACAGGCTCGTAGACGGAGACCGGTCTATAGACACGTCTACACGTGCGTACGAGTATTAATATTTCGACACTACGAATTCTCGGCGGGGAAAAATAACGATCCGGATACTACGCGCGGGACGATAACATTCGGCCGCGTTGCAGTGTTTCGGGCGAAACAAATGACCCGAGCAGAATCCACGGTCGTGCATATTATTGCAGTACGCCACGCGGTTTACGGTGTACGGTGTATATGTACACGGCGTTTATACCTACCGGCCGATCGGGATACACCGATAAAGTTTTCGGTTGACCGTAAGACGAAAATCTCGATTTATACCGGTAAGTTTTTGTTAACGCAATAAATTTCCCCGATCCCGAGCTATCGCGGTCTTCCTTGCCGGCGGGCCGCCCGGATCGCGCAAAGAAAACGGAAAATAAACCGTGCGAGCGCGCGCGTGCCTAACCAAAATACATTATCGTGTCGCGCGAAACAACATAACATGATAACGTTTTACGTTTCCATTTCTGGTTTTTGGTTTTTTGTTACACGAGCAATAATACGGAAAATATTGCGCTCCGCGCGTCAGAACTATTGCCGCGTGAGCGTTGCACGTTAATTACGCGCCGATATTTCCGAAGAAAAAAAAAAAAAACAAATTTTGTGTTAGTACGGCGGGAAATTCTGCGGGGTCGTCGCGTTAGCTCCGGAATGCCGTTGGCGTGTCCGTTTGAAAATGACGATTCGATTTCGTTCAACGTGATATAAATGATTTCCCGATACATTTCAAACCGATAAAACATAGCATTGTTAACGAAACGATTATAAGTAAACGCAAAACGGTACTAAAACGGTCAATACTCGTCAATAAATATATTAGTAGTAACTATATTTATTTACTAACATTATTACAGTAGGTAATGAATAAATAACAATCACAATAGATTTTCAATTCAATTTATCGCGAAATCGAATATTGACTCCATTTAAATATAAATGACGCTTGAAAAAAAAAAAAAAAAAAAAAAAAAAATAACAAAACTTTGACGAGTTATAAAAATCATTTTATTTTTACGGCGTGTGCAATGGCAGTTTGAACGGTTTTCTCGTGCGATTGGCCGCAAACGAATGCCGCGTAAATTTTATAAGTTTAAGATAAAAAGCGTATACCTGTGTATACGCTTGTTCAAAAGATCGGTATAAATACGGAATTGAATTGAATTGAAAAAAAAAAAAAAAAAAAAAACATAATATATAAAACGTTTGATGTGATGTGTTTGTGTTATTTTGCGGAGTCAAATGGCATAAATACGATAAACTTTTTCTCGACACAATGCAGACATTCGTACAAAGACAAACGTACAAAGATAACCGAAACGTGTATTGACATTTTTTTTCGGCAATATTCGATTAACATAATATTATGTTCCATTTAAAAAAAAAAAAGTTTTATTTTTTTTTCCGTAGTGTCCGAGTGATGCAACTATTGTAGAAATAACGTTGAGAAGGTATGGAATGTCATATAATTATTCAATTTTGGAATATCTGTATACAACGATGCCATCGTAAAACGTTTCTGAGAAAGTTGGTAACCAAGAAAGTTGTGTAACCATACATGATGTTTTTGCATGTCATGGTTTTGTAAAAATTTCAACTTAAATCGCTTAAAAAAATGTGTATTTTTTTTTTTTGAACACTATGTTATACTTATAATGAAGACCTCGTAATAATTTCTTAAGCATTTCTGATTAGCTAAAATAATTGTATCCATATAAAACCGAATAAAATCTAAAAAAATTAAAAGCTCAACAAATGTCATATACTCGATATGTATTATGTAATATAGCTCGAAAATTGCCAGAATGTAACCATGACTATAAAAGTATTCTGTGAAAATAACTGGTTTCTAACATTCGTAACTCAATTACACTGAAACTACAAAATTGAAGAAAATTTAAATGCAATTATTTTAGATTCTGAGTGTAGCGAAAAAGCTATTCCTTTGTCGGGATTTGTCTTTTTATCGGAAAACACTTTTTTTCGGCGAGGCAAGCAGGTACCTAAATAGAACAAATGTTCGGTTTTTTTGCATTAATTTGCATTAATTTGATATTTTCGATTTTGTATTCTCGTTTGATTCGTTTTAATATCTTTTTTTTTTTTTTTTTTTTTTTGCTTATTGGTACTCGATTGAGTTTTTTTCTTTCGTTTTCAATACGCATTACCATATTATATTATTTTCTAGTATGTAAGTACATTATATTTTTTTTTAATCCCTCGTCCTTTTTTTGAAAACTGCGTATACGCCTTTGTGTATTACTATGTCTGTTGAGTCGACAAAGCCCGAATAACAAAAGGCTACGAAAAAAAAAAAACCGGAACATAATATTATTGATCCGTTTACGAAAATATACGTCGGTATTGGATAGGTATGTAAATATATACAATCGAACGCAATAAAATAACGACAAACACGACGTTGCACGTTGTCGTGACGGCACTTCGGCCGGGGTTTCGGCAAGAATAATATTATATAATATTGAAAATATATACCATTTCCGGAAATTGCGTTTCGACACGTTTTGATTTAACCGCGGGAACGCGAAATTCACAATGGCATAATATTATACAGGGGGGTGAATATATTTTTACCCGGCGGTTTTCCAGCGTCATTTTTTACCCGTATTAACGCGTTTTGATATCTGTTTTTTTTTTTTTTTTATTATTATTATTCATTTCAATCGTTAAACGGAATCGGATATGCTTTATTGTTTTTACGCTATTTCCAAATGTTTTACCCCGCCTAAAACCAATAGAGATTCACTTTGGGTTTTCAAATAGCAACGCAAATTTCGAATGGAGAATATATTTGTCTAAAAATTGTGACTACGTATTTTGAACAGCCGTACCGGATGAACCGTTTACGAATCGTAACGGTTTTGTCATTTGGACCGGCAGGAAAGAGTAATGCACTTGATGTCCGTTTTCAGACGTTTTTTACCATATCCTACTCCTCCGGTCTATCGTATCAATTGTTAAAACCCATAAACGGCGAACGTTACATTGTGGTTATGTGGTGTCAACATTTTTGGAAACATATTCTCTGTTGGAATGTTAAAATAAGGACGCGGGGTGGTTGTCACGTGAAAACCGAAAGTTAATACACATATATATAGTGTAAGGATTAAGGTAAATATTTCAATATATTGTGGAAATCGTTTATACAATGATTGAAAAAAAAAAAAAAAAAAAACAGAAACCGAATTCATTTAGAATTTCCCAAGAAAATAATTAGGACGCTGGATTAAAGAATCACCCTGTATGTATGTTTTCCAACTCGTGATTGTGTGAGCAAAGCCGCGAGTAGGTCGTTTTGTGTAATTTGGTATTTTATTATTTTTCCCTTTTCTTTTGCCGTCAAAAATTGAAGTTTTGGGTTTTTATTATTATTATTATTATTATAGACGCGTACGCGCAAAACCAAATTACGTTTTATTGACAACGACAAAAAACGTGAAAAAAAAAAAAAAAAGAAACACAATAATATTATAATACCTACTCGCAGTCTCGTTATTTCGTTTCTCATCGGTGTCGCGTCGTTTCGTATATTATTATTATTATAATAATATTTTGTAATATTACCGAAAAACGTTATTGGGGATCAACTGCGTCTTTTTTTAAGTCGCCTTTCGCACGGCACCCAGCACGGCGTAGGTAGGTGCTTACCTATAGAGTCCTAAACCGTATAGACCCGGCGGATGTTACCGGTCGTTAAGGGGACAAATATATTAAAATATACCAATACATGTGTACCTAGTGTACGCGTGTACGGTGTGCGCGGCACGTGATTGCAATTTAAAACGTTATAATATTATATAGAAATGCGTGTGCGGCCATACCGTGTGTAGGTAGACACTGTATAGAACCGTATAATATAAAAAAATAGAGGCGAAGAAAAATACCGACGGACCGTAGTGTGCGCGTCGCAGTATCCGAGCGGTGTGCGTTATCAATCAGGAAATAATAGACGCCGATCACAGCATTATCATCCAGCCATTATAGAACGGTGGTTATTTTTATATCGGTATGTATAGTAACTTTTTGTGTTTTTTTTTTGGTTTTTTCAACCCGTAAATTGGTCCGACTACGAACTTACATATTACGGGTAGTCGGTGTTGTATACCTTAAGATACATTTTAAACCATCGGGTTAAAGATACGAAGTTTTAAAGACACGGCAATTTAATTGTATCTATACGAAGATAAACAATCGGAAACTTAGATAGAAAAAAAAAAGAAAAGATAATTTTGTCATTACAGATCATTTAAAACCAAGAGTGAAATGGGATTTACGTCTAGACTTCGTGTAAAAATTTCACTGTTTATTTATTTTACTACATTAATAAAAATCAAATAGTTTACTCATTATTTCTAAAAAAAATCTATAAATTCCGGTTGAAAAGATTTATTAACAGATCTCAAGTATGTAAATTCGAGTACATAGACTTTGTTTTATGACTACAGATATGGACGGGTTTGTGACGGTAACTACTATTTTTAAAAAAATTGTCCTCAACATTTTGTCCTAAAAAGTTATAAATTTAAAAAAAAAACAAATTGAACAGAAGTAAACAATCGGGGTTTTCGTGTTTTTTTTTTTTTCGTTCTTGATTTTCGGTACAAAAGAACAATACACGGCTGTACTATAATACTACCTAGTCTTACCAGTTAACCGAACTCCGATCGGAATCGTTTTTTAATCATGATGTATTGCACCGATTCTAGAAAATAAAAAACCGCCTTGACAGTATCCTATAAAGTCGTCCCCGGGGTCGTGTCGCATTAAATCCGTTTTCTCCGCGGTCGGTGTAAAAACGGTCATTTTTAAAAATTAGTACCCCCCCCTCGGCCAAATAATCTTTTTGAAAACATTGTGAACGCGTACCCGGTCTTATACGTTTTTAATTCAAACGGTTTGAACATTTCCGTCCGCCTGGGATCCTACGATGCTTCGAAAACAAACGGATAAGAACGGGTGGCGTATAGGTGACCGAGTCGGCGGCGGTGGTCCTCACCGAAAATATCGCATTGTATTACAGTATTGTGGTACGGTATTTTGGTCTAAAAAACTGCGCGCGCGCTCACCGACGGCGGAAATATAAAGAAACGCGTACAATATAGAAAGGTGATCTGAGACAATGCCCTTTGAAAATAGTATAACAGCGACGATAATAACAACATATTATTATTATTATTATTTTATACGGAAACGCTGAAAGTCGAATTATACCGTATTATTACTGTGCAGTTTTATCTACGTGTATACGTATATAGTATTGTATACACACATTGTAAGGTGCAGAATATTATAAAAATGAGAACGAGTTTCGCGAGGGGAAACAGTATACTATAAAAGAAGCAGAACACAAAAAAAAAAAAAAAAAAAAAAAAACCTCGGCACAATGAGACGAAACAATGAAAAAATCGTCGACGAGGGAAAAAAAAAAAAAAAGTTCGCGTTTCGCGTTTATAGCGACGCGACTAAAATATTGGAGTGAGAGAGAACGCTATCCGTGTATGGTACAATTGACATAACAATAATATTATTATTTTCGCGTGCATTATTATGTACACGGAAGTACCCCGAGGCTTTAAAATATCGTAATGTCAATGACGGTGATTCGAATTTAACAGTGGATCGAACTCCGATAGGTATATTGTTATTACGGCCGAACGGAAATTGCGCTTACGAAATCCGGCCGTACAAGCTGACTAGAAATTTAAAACGACAATAATATGATTCGAGAACTCGGCAAGAGATTTCGTTTGTGTGCAGACATCACGGCTAAATGAACGGGCCGTGTCGATAAGACGTCATCTTCCCGCAGCGTTCAATTTTCTTGATATTAATATCAATAACATTTTGATGATTGATACTATATGTTAGCCGTCTGCTAGTGACGAGAGCCTTAAATTAAAATGCCCTTTAAACTACCGAAACATGTTTAAGAAAATAGCCGAAAATGTTTTTCGGTAAAATTAAATTCTTAAAAAAAAAATGCCAATAACTGTTCTTAAAATGTAAAATAAAATTGTCGTCCCGAGCATTTGCTTGAGCCGAGTGACGCACCGCAACTGTAAATAAATACGACAGATATAGGTGCTACCGGAATAATAAATAAAACAATTGATAATCTGAAGTAGGAGTGGATGAAAAATGGCTAAAACCTATTAAACCGAATTTCATAAACACGACCGTTCGTGTGATAATAAAATAAAATGCAAGGAAACGCAAAATAAAAGTACCACTTTTGGAGTACTTATCTGTTACACTCTTCGAATTATCTACTTAGGATGCATTTTCTTGGATCGCTTCGAAAAAAATGCGTTTTGCATTGAAATCCGGGCCCTACTGATAAAACGTTAGCCGAGGGCAGTGGTTTTCAAAGTTGTTTTAACCACGGCACACCATGACCTTTGTCATTGTTTCATTTTTCGCATAAAATTAGAACTAATAAAAAAAAATCGATGAGTCATACACAAACGAATCACGATCAAAAGGGTTACGACATCACATTCAACGAGCCGATCACCGTAACCAGTGGTCCGTCACGTTTTCAGTATGACATATCTCAAGAGACCGCGGCACGTCTAGTGAATGCTGCCAGTTTGAAAACCACTGGACTAGGGCCACACGATTTATTTGTCCATGAAATACACAACTCTTTGTACCGCGGTTTATTCCATACGTCAGTTTCGATGCGCATTGTTGGTTTGCCGATAACTATTATAGCGACATTCGTATTTATTTAGCCGTAATATGAAGGGTTTTATCACGTTTTTGAGTAGGCGTCGGACCGTTAAACCCCCGCCCCTGTTCGCGCGCCTGTTGCCGGCCGTTGCAGTTTGAAGTTTGAATCAACAATTTATATTCCAGACATTTATCAAATATTAACTACAACGTTAATGTTTAATAAAAAGATATTTTATTATAGGTATTTGATACTATATTATTTACACGTGTGTCGTTTCGACAAAGGGCAATAGTGACACGGCCGTGTTCCAAATCATACGATATTAAATATTCAAACATTGTGCCGGAATCGGTAAGCGGCGGCTATAATGCATGTGCACACAGTTCGGAGGAAAAAAATTCAAAAGAATATCGCTCCGCAAACGAAATTGCCGAAATTTAACCGGCGCGTTTTTAACCGAAAAAACTTCGAGACGAGTAAGTTGAATTTTCGAGTGGTGTGTTGTACACACACGATTGGATTACAGATAACTGACGAATAAATAAATGAAAAAAAAAAAAAGGAAAAAAACCCCCGAATCGTTTATTAATTCTCTCGTCGCGCACTACAACTTCCAGTAGTGGCGGCGGTAGCAGTGGCGGTGCCGGTGTCGGTGTGCGATAGGGTTGAAAAATTTATATTATTTTCGTCCGCGGTTGACACTGACTGAAGGCGCGTCACCGGAACGACCGTTTCAAAATACAAATTGAATTTATATATACACACGTACGAGTATTATATTATGCGTGCGCGTGTACAAAAGTTTGTTTTATTTTTTATTCATTTCATTTGTTTACGATTCGATTTATCGTTCGCGGCGTTTTTTGTACGTATATACGTATATTATATCGGCGGCGCCTGTGTACCGGGGTAGGAGTCGGCGGCGGCAAAGGGTGGGTGCCGGGGTGGGGTGTGGTGAGGGCGGAGAACGGAGAGCAATTTATAACAACACACACTGGGGCACGCCGATTGATGATGAAAAATTGGCTGTGCGTATATCGAATTCGCATCGGATAAATATCGTACATAAAACGTATCCGGCCGGGAGCGTTAAAAAAAAAAAAAAAGAAAAAAAAAAGGATATTAATAAAACGATATTTGAAATCGCTAAAGTCGGAAGTATAGGTATAATACCTATAGTACTGCGGCAGTCGATGGGCGTGGGTCATACGAACACAGCCGTGTGTAGCGTACACGCACGATTTCATTTCATGATAAGTCATATAACATTAGACGATTACACGTTTAAACATTATGGAAATGGAGAGGACGAAGAGAAGTATACAGTAGAGAAGTAATAATACGGTTTATTTTTTTTTTTTTAGATCTATTGTTTGTTCCAAGAGTCGGTGCAACCTGATTCAAGTGGCAAGTAATGAATATAAAAGTAAGTCAAGTTGCCGACGGTAGCTATTTAATACGTTCCTGATAATAAATATTAAACCGGCGAGTCGGTTATATTTCATAGTGGCATAAAGTCAAAAATCGGCCGATAGTTGGAATCGAGTAGAGCTCAGCAACTTTACACGATTATTTTCATGTCGCACCGGAATCGGGCGTCCTATTTAACCTGGTTTAGGTGCGCACCGGAAAATAAACAAATCGGCCACGCGAAATGATTTATAATGCAACGGGAAAAAAATGTGAAAAAACCGTTTAATCTGCTGTCGTTATTTTTGCCTTAAAACACGTTTGAACAATACGACATAATCATCGTATCAATACAATTAATAACAACTATAGGGATAGTGGATAACCGACTCTTGGCAACCGTTCAACGCAGAGCATATTTTTAACGACAATTCCCTGAAATATTGTTTGTTTGTGCTATGAATTACGTGTTATTGTATAAAAAACTATTTGAAATAAATCACAAACTGTTTCCATAATACCATCGTTAAGTATATAGTAGCGGTTCTCGACATTTTTCCGGCGGTGCCCTTTTACGGACCGAATTCCGTCACGGTGCCCTTCCGTGAACATACCGCTAAGGAATGTACGTAAAAATCGACACTGATAATATTCTCATTGGGTAATCAGTTTTTTTTTTATAATTTTACCGGACGTAATACAATACAAGCGTTCCATGCTCACCGTCGACTCAGTAACTGTACTTTATTAGATCCAATTTGAAATTAACAAAAATCCGAAAGAAAAAAAAAAAAAAAAATTACAATAAATTTATGTACGAGTCACGGTGCCCGTGGAAAGTGCCCGCGGCGCACAGTTTGGAAACCGCTGGTACACAGTATTCTTGGAATACACGAACATTTCAAAGGGGTTATAACTTAATCTTTGACCTATTTGGTACGCTAAGCTCGTCGTACCTGCCGACTCCATACTTCCTATTGATAGTGAACTCTACGTAGTCGTTTTACAAAATAAAAATAGGTACGCAGTAAATAGAGATGAAATGCAGATGTTAATGACGTATTAATGATAAAAAGTCGCTATCGTTACATCGATTTCGTATTTTCACGACGCTACAATAGTAATAATGATAACGATACAGATATTAATTAGAACACAAAACAATCAGGTTTTGCGTGAAAAACTCCTCTTTTGTCGGTATTTTACTGTGGGCACGAAAAATTCATCGAATAACTTTTTTTTTCTTTTTTTTTTTTTTTGTTATCGTTATTATTATTACTAATATTACTATTATTATACTCGCTCTCACCGATCAAACGGAAATGTTCATTAACTTTACTAACAAAAGAGAATACACAGCCGATCGTATATATATAAATATGTATAATAACATATTATGTACAATATTTTAGGTCGGGCAAGTATCGACTTCGCATAACCAATGACGTTGAATATTTTCATAAACAAATAATTTATTCCCGTGTACAACATAATATATTACTTTGTATTTGGTATCGGTCGATTTTTTCCGCCGCGCAGACATTCGCGGTACGTTTTGTTTTCCACGTAAAAATAAAAACTCGCATAAACCGAACAAACAATAATAATTTCAAAGTATCAAAGCCGCCGTATAGCACCAAAATGCCATTTAATATAATAATTGTATTTTCGTTGTTATTCTAGACTTTGATTGCTGTTCATTTTTTTTTTCTTTTTAAATTTTTAATTGAAATGCACGCCCGAAAGCATAAAGTAGATATACAATTGATAATTCGTAATTAATATAATGGCAAAGAAACCTTGAAAATATACAATATACAAAATAAATTACGTTCATAGCGTAATTTGTAATAATATTGAATTTACTTGAGATATTAAGTGAAGTGTTACCAAGGTCACTAATAGGTGAAACAAATATTATTGGCCGTACACAAACCAGTAGGGATATACAGTTGATAGCTCTATAATATTATAAATGAAAAAAAAAAATTGAAGAATTATAGAATACTAAACCGTCTAGCTCGTTGAGAAGAATGAAAAAAATCAAAGTACTTTTGCAGGTTTACGAGAAATCAATGGTCAAATGAAATTTTCGCTAGGTTTTAGAATTGACTAGAAAAATAGAAATTTTTTTAGAAAAAATTTTTTGAGAATTCAACGTAAATATGTAAGCAACGATAAACTATTGGTAACGAAAAAATGATTTTGAGCGGAGTTCAGTTGATAGTATTTACCTACCTTTTTCAACAATGTGCATTTCTGTGACAACAACGATTGTTTAACAAAGGTTAAAATAAGACAAATTTAATAATAACAAAAAATAAATAAAAATGGTTGCCAACGATAGCATTTTTTTAATTTTTCAATCTTTTTTAACCTAAAGAACTGGGTTTTCCTCATTATCTCAAACAATATTAATGAGAATTTCAAAAAATGCCTTATCTAAAGTACCACCTAGAAAACATTTTCTTTCGGAAAAAATGCTGCTATATTTGATAATTAGAGTAAGCTTTTTGGTAGAAAAACGTGTATACGTAAAAAAATAAATAAACATCATTGTAAAACCAATACATTCCTCAATCCGCTCAGAATTTAAATAATTTTGAAATTACCTTTTCTATTTGAATATTTTCATAGGTGAGTAATAATATGTCGTATCTGTTTTTCTATGACAGACAATATAGGTCACGTAATATGATCACGTAAAACAAGTGAAAAGGCCTTGAAAATCACCTACGCATTGAAGGACTTCAGAATAAAAGTTAACTTGGACAGTTATTTATGCAAGTTACCATCTTTATACAAATAATATGGTTTTTTTTTTTTTAAAAACAAATAGTAAAACCACAGACTTATGAACTAGCGGATCGCGTCTCGAGTGAAAAATATTAGTCAGACGACATCCGAGTAGGAAAAAAAAGTGTCCGGGACGAAAAATTATTATTATTCGTACGAAGTATATCCGTCTTTTTTAAAATTTATTTTCGATATCTGGTTCCTTGGTTACGCCGTACATCGGATTTCATTATTGTTTTGATATTTTATTTATATTCGTTCAATACTGTGCACGGGCAAAGTCGGCTATTACGGCTAGTGTATTATTATTATAATTAAGGTACATTATATTGTCAAAAAGTCGACATTAACTAATTAAAACGGTAAATATTTTTTTAACTTTTGAACCTTATAAAGTAATTATTTTTTATCGTTAAATAACGAACGTGACTAGTTTAAGTTGTCATTGTTTAAACTCAACTTTTGACAGTCACTTTCCATATAGATATCCAATCAAGTTGACGTTTAAAAGACTGATGATTTTTTTTTTTTTCGCAACTTGAAAATCAATTAAAATTTTTTCTCAATACAGTGGCTTATGTATCCAGTTTATTTGTATTAAAGTGGAGAAAAAAAAAATGGAGATTTAAGTATAAATCGTTTTGTAATAAATATTCTAAACGTTTGATTTTCATATAAAATTTGTTTGAAATTGTTTTACGTTAACGGTCGGTTTGAGTTTGAACATTTCACTTATCTCGATCGAGTTAATTATTTTCATTGACTCGCCTTTGTCTAACGTTCAGTTTTCAATATGTAACTGTCTAAACATCAACACGCAATACAACGGCCAATTTAATAACTCCGCCCTCCCGACCACACCGAAAATTGCTCGAATGCGTAATATTATAACACCCCGCGGTTTACGGATAATTTTTTAAACGGGTGTACACGCGCGCGTCGATCGTTTTCCGCGATCGTGTGTGACGCGGACCTATTGAAAGAAATAAAACAATCTCGTCGGACTGTTTATCGATTTCCGATCGAATCCGGCACGGTCGAATAACCGTTATTTGGTGGCCGGACGTTTCGGATGCCTACACGGCGGTGTTGCGATTATAATTACACACGTTTAACACCCGCGCGTATACGCCCGCGCACCCGTTACAGATGACCGCGCGCCGCCGTATCGAAACCGTTGACGCCTTGGTCGCGTGATGACATCGGATCGTTTGCGTTGCCGGGACGGGAAAGAGAAATTGCCGGACGTGAAACGCCGAAATTAACAACGCGATAATATTGGGTAATATTGGGCGTTATCATTTCGGGCGTTGCGCGATAAGTTTTCATAACGCGGAACGGCCGGCCGGCCGAAATGTTTTTTTATTTTTTTTTTTCGCGAATCTCCGGTCGCCGCCAAACGGGCGCGCGAAACATTCGGCGATGCCCACTCGGCGGGACCGGCGGCCGCGTCGCGATAACGACAACGGTAACGGCGTCCGGCGGCGTGTCGAGGGCGAAAACTCGCCGTGGCCCGCGGGTAAACGTCGCAACGCCGTCAACGTTACCGTCGACGCGGCGGCGCCCGCGTGTTTCTGCCGCGCGAATTAACGCCCGATCCGAACGCGGCGAACACGACCCGACACCGATCGGCCGAAATTATCGCGAACGCGCGCGCGCGCGATCGGTCGTTTGGTCCGGAACAACGCGATCTTAAATCAAACGCGGCGGGTATCGGGTTAAACGTTCGCTCTTCGTCCGGCCCGCTCCCGCGTCGCCGACCGCCGTTTTCGCCCCGCGACATCGGTGTTTCGTTTTCTTAATTGACGGCGCGTCGCTCGAAGCGCGCCCGCTCGCGTCCGTCCATTTGTCGGTTCGCGTTAAAACCGCTCCGTTTCGGTTGTCGTTTTCGCGGGCGTTACGCCGGTCTTCTTGAACGGTCACTGCACTAGACTGCGGGACTGCACTCGCGTCGAATTATGTAAACGACAAGAACAACTCTTTCGGACGTCCGTTTATCGCGGTACGCGACGCGCGTCGCACGGAATTTCGGTACTCCAGACGCGTTCTGTATTGTTCGGAGCGAGACCACTGTAAACCCGACGGTTGACGGAACGTTTGTGATATCGCTAAATATTCACTTCGGGACGGTCGATTCGTACGTTTGTAACTTGTACGGGGCTGGAAAAAGCGCGTCCGCGTTATTTTCTTTTCCGGCGATTCGATATCGAAACAATTACGATTATACGCGCACACGCCCGCCAATAGTATTTTTTTTTTTTATTTTCCCTGGCATTTGTCCCCGTCTACTGTAAAACGTTACCTATAAATACGACCGTACCGGTTTTAAATTTTTTGATTTTGGACGTTTCGCACCGCCGTCCACTAATTCACAACGCACGTCGAAACGCTATATTATCATTATTATTATTATTATTATGATGATGATGATGATGATGATGATGATATTTCCTGTTTATATTATAATATACGACCGAGTACCATAAAAAAAAAAAAAAAAAATCCCAACACGTCGCGACATAATGATGAATAGAGTACCCGCATACCTATCGAGATTCGAGAGTCTGTGTAGGTACAAAATAATATATGCTATCATCGTATAATAATAATAATAATAATAATAATAACAATAACACTAATATTATGATATTGTGAGCTGGGTTTTTTTTTTTTTTAATATTTTTTTATAATGTATTAAAGTTTGGCTCTGTGGCCCGGTGAAGGAGTGAGATAACATAAAGATATTACATCCCGGCAAGTTAATAACAGAATAATAATATATTAAAACTTGATCGAGTTGATTTTTAAAAAAAAAACTTAACGCGCAAATACGTTCTATCTATAGGAATAAATATGAAAATTCAATTGACTTATTTATTAGGTTATTATTGTTTTTTTTTTTTTACTAATTTCTGTTGTTAATAATAATATATTAGCAAGGGCAATTTAAATTACACGGTGTAGTCAAATTTCCCGTAAAATAGTTATTTTTAAAATCATAAATTTCATAACGTTACATTATCCTTATTTTGTTCACCCTTATTTTCAGGTGTGAAATTTCTGATTATCAAACGTCAACCTATGTTTGAAACTCCATAAATGGTTGAAGTATTTGTTTGAAATACATTTTGCTATAAAAATATTTGATTTCCGTCTACCCGTTGACGAGATATTCCAATTGTAATTTCGGGTAGGAGAAGCGTAGTAGAGTTACGGCACGGCGCGCGGTACTTGAATGCTCTACTACTCTCTCTCTATCCAAAACTGAAAAATGGAATATCTCGTCAACGGGTTGATGGAAATTAATAACGGTGTTTTGATTTTTCATTTAATTAAATATAATGGCGTTAAAATGTTAATAAAAAAAAAGTTAAAAATTGAAAACTTGCACGATATAACAGGGTTAGTGATAAGGAAAAAAATAGAAAATAACAAAAACGGAGTTCCATACGAGTTGCAGAACGCCTTTATACTTCGAAAATTAAAAACGATCGCCGGAATTGGGCCATTATATGAAGTGTAAGAGTTTTTCCCAGTAAAGCGTGTATTTGAGCCAAAAAACGCGCTGGCACTGGGTCACCATAACGAATTTCGTGTCACAACTGAATGTCTTTCACCGAATTGCAACAAGAAAAAAAATATAACCGTAAGTTATGAATAAGTACAAATTTAAATACACCTATAAATAGAGACAAAAAAAAATTAACTAAACTTTAAACTTAATCTACCTATCTTATAACTCGTTTATGACCAGCCTATAGAAATTCGTACGATCAAATGTCGTTCATAATGTATTTACGTCTGGTTACTGTCCGAAAATCACCGCCCCCTCTCCCAAAAAGAAAATAACCGCCGCTACCCTACACTTTTGTCAAACCGAACTGACCAGTCAGCGAAATTATTTCCCTCGATTCGACTGCGCCGCTTCACGATCGGTCGTTAGGTTAGACTTAATTTTACGGGTGCACGGCACGTACTTGAAACTCTGCGGGGGTCGCGCAGAATCCGGACCCTACCCCTTAAAAATTAATTTTACTTCGGCGTGCCGTTATGCGTGCCGGCCGTGACCGTATATAAAACGTCGACTCGATCTCTCGAGCTGATATTGCGGCGTATCACGGCGATGCGAGATTAAAATCAAACGAGGCTTCCCGTCCGCTTTCTCGAACTGGAGGATTTCGTAATAGTTTACAACGAAAAACACTCGGACGGAATAAGCGTCATTGCAATTTACAATCACGCGTTTTTGAGTTTAATTCTACGCTGAATTACGGTGTCGTGTGACAACGTTTTATTAAATCGTTTAAAACAAGTCGAGGATCAATTTAAAGACGCCTGCAGTGGCGTTTTCTCAGTTGTCAAAACGAAAATATGAATGACGGTAAATGGGCAATGGTCAAAAGTCGGACGAAAGTTCCAGTCATAATTTTTTCATTGATCGGATAAATGTTCTGTAAAAAAATTGTTACTTTACTATAGTAACTAAATCTTCGTCTGATAGTCAAATTTGCTTATTGATTTCGAATTTCCGTTTTTAATTTCCGAAAATTTTATTTGAAAAATGTATATTATAAAAAAGACGTCCTAGGATAATAGAAATGGGTGCAGCATCTGTTACAGGTAATTTAATGTATATCTGTAAGCAACGATAAATCATTGCTAATGAAAAAACGATTCTGAACACACGGTAATGGTAAAATAATTAAATAGACATTATATATTTTCTTTAATCATTTTATTTTTTTCAGGAATAATGCTATCGTTTTAAACCGAAGCAATATTGCTGATAGAATAGTAGTACACTGAAAAAAAGGTCATAATATTTGTTTACATATCATGCCTACATTTCGTACTATTTCCGTTTTAAAACTACTTTATAAGGCCCAAACTTTTTTTTTACCATTATTAAGTACAACTCATTACGAACATAGTTTAACTAAAAAATAGCCAGTCTGTTTTAAAAATTCGACCACGTCTAGGAAAGACCAATATAAGCATTCTGCATTACGTTTATGTTTAACTGAATTAAAAAAAAAAATCAAAAAATAATGATACTATTAATTCCGTAAGTTTTATCATTTTTCACCTCCATTAAAAAAACTATAATAAAAATAAAAAAAAAAACAACCTCTGACGTACTAATTATATCTAAAATGGAACAAAAAAGCAAGATCCGAATGGTTGTACCAAGCAGAAAACATATTAGCACGCGTCATAATAATACCAATACATTCCTCACTACGCTCAGAGTCTAAAAAAATAACGACTTAAACAAACAGGCACAAGGCTAGACAATCGCGGAACTCGTTATCGACCGATTTAATGATTAGGTGTTTTCATTAATATTGTAGAAGTTATCGCTTAGGGTCAAAAAAACAGAACGAAAGGTAGATGGGGATGGTGGGTACAACCGATTTTTATCGATAATGTTATTATACCGCGCCCTTGTTTGACATCCGCGCGATGCACAGCGGACTTTGACGTACTCTGCCGGCAAACGAGTCGGGTGAGCATGGTGTAACGGATAAGGATTAATCGCAAGTATGCACGGTGTCCCGCCGAGAAATGACTAATGCAATAGGTAACTTTTGTTCCGTTCGATATTTTGACCGGGGGCTACAGATGTCACACCGGTCAGTTGTCACGGTAGTAATGACTCTGAAACTCTGTCATAGTATCTTATGACGTTTGTTATTTGTACCGTACATTATCGAAATGACAATCGTCGTTTTATCTCGAAGATCGTTTACTATTATCCTATGGCGACGATTATGCTGGAAAAAACATTGTCGGTGAGTAATTTTTTCGCGGTTTGTCTATTTACATTTTCTTAACGAACACTGCATAATCATAATGGCAATTGGTTTTCCGCTTTTTCCGTACAAGCGGGCGCACAGTACTTATGGTAGGAATACGATAATATTCGTCATTAGGACGTTGTTGTTTAATAGCGGCAATGCAAAAAATTAAAGTTTTTCGGAAATTTAAGAAATCGTCGATAATAACTGTTTTTGGCGCAGACAAAACGTGTTGAAATAAGTGAATATTAAAAAATGGTTATCGTGGATTTTTGGAAAAATCAATACACAAAATGTGTGAATTTTATATGTTCAACTAAAAAAATAAAATCTACATATCATATGTGTAATATAAGTATCACAGTGTACAAAGCTCTGCAAAAATATCGAACAGAACAATAAAGATATTGCGTTTGTCGGATCTCTGAGAGACACCCTGTATAAGCAGTTATTATTATTTTTTTTTATTTTTTGTAAGAAAAAAAAGACAGAAAAAATATATTTATATTATTATTTATGGTAACAACAATATTGCCGATAGAATTTATCGCTATCGTATGGGTTCGAAAACCTCGTTCGGTTTTCGTTCTTATATGAAATAATATAATAACGCAATGTTGTACGCGTCGACCGACCGCCATAACTCAACGTAAGACGGAGAGATATTAATTAAAAACGAAAAAAAACAAATATTATTATTTATGAAAATAATATTGTCGCGCGTATTTCCGGCGGTTTAATTGTATCAAACCCGTGGCCCATTGGTTTATAGGTGGAACGTTCGGCGGGGATAGGCGAGATATTGCAAAAAAAAAAAAAACAAAAAAAAAAATAACTTATACGAGTATGAGGGATACATAAAAGATACACGATAATTTCAATTTCTTTAATTTTCACGTTTCAACATTCCGTTTTTACTCGGCATACCCAATATGAATGATAACTAAAATTTCAGTTTATAATACGTTAAAAAATCTGTTTGCAATATATTAGTAGGCAATTTTTCAGGATTTTTCAGATTAAAACTACCAAATGAAATGCAATAATCATCATTAAATGTATTAAATAAACGTAAACGCAACGACTGTATTTTATTATATATCGCGTGATTAAATCTAAATAACATCTAGTAAGATGTTAATTAAATGCAATTCAAATGTTATTTATGTAAAATAGTCAACCTTTTTTTTTAGTTGTTCGTTGCTTTAATTTTTTTTTCTCAAAAGTACTACCTAACAGCGGGTATCTTGTATGTTTATGTTTTCAGCACAAAAAGATACAAGATTGTCGTATCTTTGATACAATGCGTGACTGCTATATTGTTCAACCCTGGATTTCGGGCAGATAATAATGGGTTAGGTATAATTTAATTTGCATTCGTAAGCGACTATAATTCATTGCTAACTAATAATTTGAATTTAAAATTTATTTAATTTATGACTACACAAACGAAAAACAGAATCGAAAAACTTGTAAATACCGGCAAATAGTATCGCGAAATGCCCGTACACTGACGACTTCTTGTCAAAATTTGTAGTTGGAAAATATACCATGTAAAGCACGGATTTTGTTTTGTTTGTTTGTTTTACCGCTCTGCACCACTTACGAGATACACAACTATAATATAAATTCTCGGGCATTTTTTCTGGCCCAAAACAGTGTTATTAATATAAAACCGATAAAATAATAAATAAAAAAAAAAATAACCGGATAATTTCAAATGCCTACGAACAGCTCAAATACAGACAGTCTATTTCGAAAATTTTACCCAGTCTAGAAATTGCCGAAACAAGTATTCGGTGATAAGTCTAAGTCTCTGCCATTCATTATCGCCGAATCTCAACGAAAAATTACATGGACCATTATTGCGTACGATATCACGACAATAGATCGAAAGCAAAAGAGAGAAAATAAAACGAGCGATTATCAATATGAGCGAAAAGTCCATCATTTTAAGTCTCGTACAAACATTTCATGAATTTTTTTTTAACTTTCGTCCACCGAATATTTTACACGCGCCGAATGCATGAAATATATATGTATATATATTATGTAGGGAAACATTTTAAGAATTTTTTTCTTTGTAAAATACGTTAGGATCCAATTGCGTATACATTAGTGTACACTGCGTAGTATAGAAATTTAATAATAATACAAAATATGACTACCTATTTGATTGTTTTCGTGTTTCGTATCATTAAAAAAAAATATTAATTTTTATACTGATGCGGGGGCTGAACAAATATGCAAATATTTCTTTCGTAAACAAATACATAAAAGTTTGTCCACATAATATAATATTATGATAAATTTCGAAAAAAAAAATACCTCTTAAAGTCAATACACACTGTATTCATGTGTATGAATTCGTGATTTTTACATTTCGAATAAAGAGAGAAATATAGTATTTATATTTGTTTTCAATCAGTGTTGTACAATGGTAACGGTGGTCCATTCATCCTGGGAAATATGTCCGTTTTTTTTTTTTAATATCTAGACAACGATAAGTGATTGTTAGAATAATTATCTCGCTGAAGATAAATTAGAAGGTAATGCTTATGAACATAAAATATTTCACTCGAAATTTTAAAAAAAACACGGTTTTCTTTTTACATTCGTTCATAGATTTGATTTCGCATTATGTTTTGCATAGTCATACAATCGACCAATATTGTTGTCATCGATTTACTTTAAACTTTAAATATAACATTCCTGTTTTGAATTGCCTTGCTCTTTAATAAAAAACTAGGTTTCCTATAAAATTCGAAATTAAAAATGATTGAATTGTTTTTCTATGGATGATGTTTTAGATTTAGAGCGGAGTGAGACAACAATTGGTTTGACAATGATAAGTGTGTGTGTGTGTGCTTTTATTAAACAACTTTTCGAATAGAATGTAATATAGTAGTTTTTTTTTTTTATAATTGCTGTAAGACCAAATTCGCTACTACGCAATACTATGCAATATTTACAAATTTCAGTCATTCAAATCATGTACCTATAAACGAACTTCGCTCGAAGTCATTTTTCGCTTGCAATTGTTTATTGTTGCTTACAGATATGAATAAAACAACTAACCTAAAAAAATAACTAACGAAAAAATAACTTCCAGCCCACAACAGTGACGGGCCTATATAAGCATAGTATTATACAGACCGTTAACAAATTTGAAATATTTTATGTGTTTGAAAATGACGAGAATTTGAAAAAAAATTTGAAGTTAAGAAATAAAATTGTTTTTAAAAAAAGACGGACATACTTCGCACGCGGGTGCAATCACTGTTTTAAGCGGAAAGTTGAAATTGAAAAGGTGGGATATAAACGGGAACTCAATGTACATCTGTAAGCAACGATAAACCATTGCTAGTGAAAAAACGATCCCGAACGGAGTTCAGTTGATAGTGTTGCTCTGTCAACAATAGTTATGTCATGACAACAATGATGGATTTAAAAAGATTATAATAATAAAAAGTTCATAATAACAAAAATTAAATAAAAACGGTTGTCATTGGACAACCTTAATTTAATCTTTTAATCTTTTTTAACCTTAAGAACTATGTTTTCATCAGTATCCCGAATAAAATTAATGAGAATTTCAAAAAATGATCAATCTAAAATACCACCCAGAGAACATTTCCTATGTAGAAAAATTGTTATACTTGATAATCGGAGTAAGTTTTCTGGTAGAAAAAGTGATCACTTAAAAAAAATAATAATAACAATCATCATTGTAAAACCAATACATTGCGCGCTACGCCCCGAATCTAAAACGCAGCAATAAAATGATCGAATTCGTAATAATTCGATGCCAGTTTATCGCTATGACAATTTCCACGCGTAATAAACGTTCGGTACGCATCACGGTCGGCGGGAGTTAAAAAAAAAAAAAATCCGTATTATTAACCCCGTAAAACACACTTTAAAAAAACAAAAACCGTGTCGAAAACGTGTAACACGTACAAGCGCTTATAAATAAAAATTAATTTTTTTTTTTATTTTCCGTCCGTCTGATTTTCATACGTATATATTAATACAATATACGAGTATATTGGGGCCGCAGCGTTCCCGGACAATGCAAATTTTTACATTATCGTTATAATTTTTATTTTTTGTTTCGCGCCGTTCACCGGAACGAGACAATTAACGGGTTTTTGATCTGTGTCGCAGCTGCCGCATATCCGTTGTGGGCGCCTAGTTACACGGTATAGTTATTGTGCGAGCGACACGTGCGTTCGGAAAATTAATTACACGTGGGAAAAGGCTTTGTGATTTTTCGCGCGCAAATTGCGCGCCACCGGCCCCGCATTCGGATTCCTTTTTCGCGTTTTCCCGGGACGCTGTAATTATTATCATAATCAGTGCCACGCGCCAGCGAACTATAACGGCGCGGTTCGCCTTGCCTAATGATAGATGCGCGCCGCGGCGCTTTTCATATTGTGTTTCGCCCGGCGCCGCGTCCAGACGACCCCGGGGATCGTTCGCGTGACCGCGGCACCCGTAAAGACGAGCGGGAACCGGGTCACCGACCGTCCGCGTCTCGGGCTCCGAGACCCGCGGTGTGGTCGACGATCAGTCAGGTCGAACCGCGCGCGTGGCGGACGAACTCCACTCGCGCGGACGGCCACCGCTCTCCGTAATCGAAAAATGCTTTCGAGAAAAATCCTCGAAACAGTGACGCCCGCGCTATATTGTCGCGGTGCACGGTGGAATTCGGGATTTGAAACCGCCGTCGCCCGTCTAAAAGAACGTCGTCTAGCCCCGTACGGAAATTCCGGCCCCTACAGTGCCTGTCGAGTTTGAACTTTTACGCCCGCTCTACCCGATTATCCCGGATCCCGATCGGCGGGAACCACCGTCCGCCCGGCGCGTGACGTGATCGGCGACTACAGCACTCGGAGTATATAGTTTGGGTGTTACCGGTTCGGAACACGATCGTTTGCGTATATCGGGATTGACGATTTTAATGCGTTGCCGTGGTTAAACACGAGTATTTTTACCGGTTAATTTTAATTCCTATTATTCTTTGAAAAAGTATTCAAATATAAAAAAAAAAAACAAAACTACTTTTTAGCCACCTCGAAGATTTGACTGTAAGCGGTAAGGGAAAGAAATTAGTGTTTTTAAACCTGTCGAAATCGACTTTTACAATGGTGTTTACAATTATTATTATTATTATTTTTTTTTTTTTAATAACGTTTACGTTTTGCGGCGTTTTCTCGTTATTAATCGAAATACAAGGAAAATAATAATAAAAAAAAAAAAAAATACCTACCCAATGCAAAAACTGGATAATGTTTTCGACTGGTAACCGCCCATAAAGTTGACGATTGGGGATAGATTTCTAGTCGAAAATTGATTTAATGACAGGAAAACAAAACGCACGCATCTTGAAGCAGAACTAATACGAAATATTCCTCGCTTCGATCAGAATCTAAAACCATGTAAATGCAACAAAGTCCGAGTTATAGTTATAAAGTTGTAATATCATTTTCATAAGGATTTAATTCAATCATTGAATTGCAATATGCGATGTGTGTGTTGTTGGATATTAGCGTTTGCGTATTACGCCTACACATTACACTGAGTGTACTACGAGGATTTACTCATTTTATCGTACATAATAGGGTAAATATCTCTCATTCTTTCTCATTTTCTCACGGTAATCTCTATACGGCCTGAATCGTATGATTATTATATTACTATTGCAGCTAGTAAAATACTCGTTCATTATGATTGTGTTCTTATGGAGATATGTGCAACGGTACAGACATTTCCATGAAAAAAACAAAAAAAACACATCGCTTTAAATTCGCTATAGTAAACGAAATTATAATTATAATGTTTATTTATTGGGTTTTTGTATTGATGTTATTTCACGAGCAAAACTAAACGGAATAAACGGTTATATGAAATTACGACCGGCATTTCGATTTTCCCCCATAATCCGTGTTCCTCATATTATATACGCTAAACGAGTATTAACATTTGATTTTCAAATGGCAACCTCCTACTTTTTTTAACGCGAATTTAAAAAAAAAAAAATAAAAATACAATATTTCGTCCAACTTTCGATAATACTTTATCGTTATAGTATTGGATTTACCGTTTGAGAGTTATAATGTAACTATTTTATAGTGTAGGATTAATACCGGAGTAGTATAGCGAAGAGATAATAATCTTACAGTATAACGGTAATAATGGGTTGTGATAAAATAATAATCGCCCTGTCGATCCGACGATAAAACGTCATCTAAGTAAAAATCACTGTAAAAGTAATTTATATAAAAGAAAATAATCGGGACGGCGAAAAGAAAAACGCATTCTCCAAACTTAAATGATTCCCCGCACGTATATCGCAGCAGGGCACGATATTAAAAACGACGAGGATTATTGAATTTACTTCTCGTAACCCCTTGTCTCTGGTGGCCGTTCTAATGATATATTTTGACGCGTCTCCGAAACATACCAAGGATCTGCGATATAGGTAATAACATTTGCCGCCGCCGCCGTCGTAGTCGTAGTAAATTTAACGAAAGTGGATCAGTATTACCGTGTATTAAATAAATTGTATGAGTAACGCGATTCAAGAAAATTTTGTGAAAAGTATTATGCCGTTTTACAATGAGTAATACTGAAAACAGTAAATTAGTTTCAGTTTTATAATGTATAAATAATAATTGTAATTATTTTGTAAAATTTATTTGTATACGACTCACTAACTAAAAAAAAAAAAAATGGTTTTCTATAACCTAATAGTATGATTTAATTTACGGAGGAAGGGGGTGTGCGATTTTTGAAAATGTACGTCTCGGTCCAACCAACAAGCGATACTGCAAAACCTTCCTTACGCAGAGGTTTTTTTTTTTCCTGTCTGTAAAGAACTTTTCTCCAAAGAATCTTGCTCCAATCAAAGCCTGTTATATATTAGGATTAGGACTTTCGAATTTATAATGTTCTACTATTTTATCGGTCTTATTTTGTTAATTTTGTTTGTTTTTTTTTTTTTTATTGTTTTACGATTTGCGAATATCGAGACAGTATTTTCGTTTTCTGAGCGTATAGCGAATAGTATGTCGGTTTTAAAACGATGCGCGTACGTTTTAGATTCGGAGCTTAGCGGGGGATGGTTAAGTTTTACAATGATGTTTAATTTATTTTTTTACGATTTGGTTGTTTTAAATTTTTATGCTTTAAGTTTTCTACCGAAATTATTACTCCAATAAAAAAAACGACAAGAAATCATTGTTGTTGAATTTTTAATTTAGTTGGTGAATTTGTTAAGTTCTTTTTGATTTTACGAGTAGTGTTTTTTAATAATTCAGTGAAACCGAAAAAAAAAGCGTAGAATGAACGGGGAAGTTTACAAAAAAACAATGCTTTTATTATGATCAATTTTGTTATTTTGTCATAAATTGTAATTCGGTAAAAAATATTCGTAGACTTGACATTTAGACAAAAACTTATATTTAGCTTTTCCAGACGTGATGCATTTTTCAAAACGTTTGTTTGTGTCATTTTTTATTTATTTATAGACATTGTATTTTTGCGAGTTCTTACATAATTTGTATTCGGTATTCTTTTTTGACAAGATTGCAAGACTAACAAAAAATGCGTGAACGTTTAACACGGGATTCGTTATGAATCTTGCTTGGTGGTCAAAAAGAAAAACGCGTTTAATATAATTTAGGTAGTATTTTATTGTATAATTTTGACGAAAATCGCAAATATTAGGGCGTTTCAAAACGCCGATACGACCGAACCCCGCTCAGAATCGTTTTTCGTTAGAAACGATCGACCGCCGCGTGCAGATACACAATGAATTCGCCCACTACCACGTCAACTTTTCACCCGCAACAGTGGGCCCGCCCTGAATCCGCGCAATAATGGTTCTAATTTTGTTGCTTAACCCCGGCCACAACGGTAATATCGCGCGATCGACGAAAAACTATTGTTCGCCCAAATCGTAATGAGAAAAAAAACGGAAAAAACAAAATAATAATAAACGATAATTGATAACAATACTATTTGTCCGAAGCGGGTAGCTAAGGGCGTTCTTGAAATATGAGCCGCCGCGCACTATACGTCACGTATTTGAATAAAAAGGCGGCCTACTAATTACACCGAGAGTCAAAAACGCAATATCTCTGCGACGCGAGAGCCTCTTTTTCTTTTTTTAAATGCCCACAGTACACACAAAAAAAAAAAAAAAAAAAAAAAACTACGTCTAATTAGAAAGCGAGTTCCCTAATTTATACACTGGTGCAGCGTATTAATACAATTTTTATTATCCTTTAGCTTCAATATGAACTCGTGTATAATATGGGTAGAGCATTAATCAAAATGTCGGTACACACTTTTGTTATTTATTGTGATATTTAGTGACGGCGTCGTTGTCGCCGCCGTAGACAAAAAAAAAAAAAAAAAAAAAAAACACGGTAGATTTTGAGTTTTATTATTCCCGTGTTTGGGCGAATTCGTTAAAATTGCTGTTTTTATTTTAAAAATAAATTAAAAAAAAAAAAAAACTCCAGATATTCGTAAATAATTTTTATTATCCCGGCGATAAATGATCGTGTGTAAAACAACAACAACAAAAAAAAAAAAAAATTATAATATAAAAACACACGTTTACACACATTACACAAATATTTTTATTTATATTATATTAGTGTGTATAGTTAAAGATGCGGGTAAATGCGGAGCATCCCATTTGCACGCGCGCACATTGAAATTCCTCCGAAAATAATAATCTGCTTGCGCGCGTGAATTAAAAAAAAAAAAAAAAAAGGTTACACCGTGTTTATGTACACGAAATATTGCATAGCCTTTGGCATAACTCGTCTGAGCACATTTCGGTATAGGTACGGGCACAGTGTGTTTGCGGATGGATTTCAAAAATTGAAAAAAAAAAAAAATACCGTAAACCCAACCTAACCGTGACACGGGCGTATACATTTTAGTTGCTCAAGATTATACGCAAAAGGTTGTTCGCTCACTGCACATACCTGCCTTATTAATATTATTATAATTATTTTTGTGTGGTTTTCATTAAAACAAACGACCAGGTTCGGTGTTTTTTAGAGAACGCGTTTAATAGAAAAGTGTCCGAAACCGCCGATTAAACGTTCGGCGCGAACTATAACGATATTTAATTTTTTTTTTTTTGTGTGTGTGAAAAACCAATGTCACGCGAGTTTTTCTCGAGTGAAAATAATGTCTGTATTGTCTGAAGTGTCTGAAGTCCGAAAATCCATTCGTTTTCCCGCTACTATACCATCGTCATCAATATCCATTGGCGATATTATCGGGTTTCGATTTTTATAACGTTTGCCGATTATCATAGGATACAGATAAAAGAAATTGATTTTAAATTTGTTTTATGCGCCGGATATTCCAAATCGGAAATTGTTTGCTCCTGTTAGTATTATTATTATCATTTTTTTTTTTTTTTTTTGCATAACTGAAGTATTTTAAATTTTTAACGCTATGATTTAATTTTTGACGCTATTTTTCACCGACATAAAAATGATTTATTTGCATAAATATTCGAAAAAAAAATATCGATCGTTTACGCGAAAGCGAAACCGCAAGAAAAATACCTACATTATCGTTTCACGTAATAAATATATAATCTATTTTTAAGTAACCCGGCGTATCGAAACATCGAACAGTATAGGTACGTTTATGACTTCTTATCGGTTGTATTTATTTGTTAAAAAAAAAAAAAAAAATGGCGTATTATAATAGTTTTTCGATTTTTGAGGTCGCGCATATTTCAGTTAGGTCTTCTCTTTTTTTTAATAAAGTCGTTTTTCGATTTTCCTTGACGTTTTCCGTACAATTGGACAATCCCTTGAAGAAACGTATAAAACAATGAAAAGTTTATGGTTGTATAACGGTGTCATTATTTTAAATTTCGGTTTTTGTTGTCATTCGGTCAAAAACAATCATAAAGACCTAACATTTCCACAGTTTACTTCTAAAAGTATTTTCTAAATACGGGAACATTTCCAAAAGCTGTTGACTATTTTTTCAATTATTTATACGCAGATGACATTTTCGTTCGTCTTTCAGTTATTATTTGATTTTATGTAGATAAAATTGTTCAGGTGGAACAGATGCGCTTTCGTCTAACACGAGGTTAACCATTAGTTTTACTTGGTAATCAATAAACAGAGTTCAAATTTTGACGAAAATCGCGGTATTTCGTAATATTTTCAACTGAACTTTGCTCAGAACTGTGTTTAGATAGCAAATATGATTTATCGTCGTGTACAGAAAACACTATACGTATTTTCTTCATAACTTCCCACCTACACCAGTGGCACACCCGCCAATAGTGTCTTCAGTTTTTTATTTTTTAATATTCTAATGTATTTTCCATCGAATTCGACTCAAAAATCGATCGGTACGGCTACTACGTATACGCTAGGACGTATAATATTTTCATAATACAGTCAACCGTCGGGATCGATGTTTTTTCGCAAATGAACAACGTGAAACGACAGCCGCGTAAATAATATAGGCGTATACTAGTAATAAACGGTCGGTAAGTATGCAAGTATATTTCTTTTTTCACATTCAAAGGCGCTTCGCCGCTATCGCCCAGCTCCTGCAGAGGTCTCTGTTATCTATACATCTTCCGTTTAAGCCGTTTTTTATACTTCCGATCCAAATCCGTTTCGACACTTCGGATTGGCGGCCAGCGTTCGTTTCATCAGACACAATCCTCACCACGCCAAACAACACGATCCACCCGATTCGGACTTTTCGAGACGAGACGTTTTCGGTTACTCGGTCCATCGAAGAATTCCGTTGTCCGTCCGCACCGTAGTGCGTTTTCGTATTATTTTACGGATCCGAATATTCTCCCGGGAACGTTCCTGTCGGCGGTTACGACGACATTGTCCCGTCAACTATAAAAGACCCGTTTGTCGACCGCCCGTTTCCAATGTACAGGACGGTATTTTCGCGCGCGTGCCGAGAACGAAACGCGGCGTAAAGATTTCGGCAGTCTCGACGTCGCGTCGTCAATAATGTACGAGGTGTCGGGTTTTTTTTTTTTTTTCCCCGTTTCCGTTCGGTCATCTTTCCGCCCGGTCCGAGCGCGCTACCGGTCCATATTATAGCGCGCGGCATTGTTATATCGTTGGGCAGGGGGCGAGGGGAGGCGAACTCTCGGGCCTTTCGCACCGGCTTTTTCTTCGACACCCGGGCGGCACACGGGTCGTTAACGTTTCACGGGGCCGCGCGTGATTTATAAATGGATTTTTATTCGCCGCGGGAAACGCCGCCGCCGTCTCGTCGCATAAATAATAATAGTATTTCGGACCGCGTTTCCGTGATTTTCGCAAAAACACGGGCGTACCCCCCACCCCAGACCTATCGCCGACCCACACCCACGGAGGACGTAACGATAATACAAAATAATTCGACTCTGCGCGGGTGGGTGCGGCGCGAGTTACGGTATTGGGTGGTTAGGCTATACCGACACGGTATAAAACGATTACAATTTTTATTATTGTGTCCGCGTGTCGGTTCTGATAATACGGTGCGTATGCGAGCGTGCGTGCGGACACATCTGACCGCATTTTAGATTCTGAACGGAGCGAGGAACGTATTGGTTTTACAAATGACGTGTATTTTTCAACTTTTCTACCGGAAATTTCGATCCGATTTTCGCGTGTAGCCCTTTTCCGAAAGAAAATCTGCCCGGTATAGTGCTTTATTGATGTCGGATTTTTGATTTTTCCACGGAGGTTTTTATAATAAATCGCAAAACCGCCGGGAAGAAACGTGGGAAAAACGGGAAAATGTACGAAATGTACTAATGTTTTCAAATCGGAAATATAACGGTCTTTTCATACACGTGTATCAAATCTCCGCTCAGAGTCGTTTTCCGTTTGTAATGATTAATCTCTGTGTACATATCTACATTAAATTGCCCCTGTACCTTCCGAACTTCTCACACGAATTCCCTAATAGACGTACATAATGGAATTTTTTAATTTTTTTTTTTGAAATATTCATACGTTTTTTTTTTTTTATTGTTGTATCAACAGACACAATGTGTGACGTATATTAAAATGTTTTTTTTTCGTTCAAATTTGTAACAACAATACAAGGACGTCCTCCATGGCCGATTTTCGCTTTTATTTTTTTAAAACTCGTTGTTTTACGAAGCGGTTAAATAATATTTAACGCGAATTATTATCACGACTGTAAAAATAATCATTCGAATCGCCTCCTTAAACTAACCGTTCACCATAATGGCAGCGCATCGTTTTTTTCTATGTTTTCTCGCTGCAAAGGCGTTCGTACCGATAAATTAATATTCGAGTGTTATATTATTGGAAAACGGGAGAGACAAGAAAAAAACGTTTTAATTTTACTAAAAACATTTTTGCAATAAAAAAAAATACCAAGTTTTTGTCACTCATTTTGGTTTTTCATATTATTTTTATTTTTGTCGTTACTTATTTATGAAAGACCTTCGATGCCAATGTTTATTGTTGTTATTTGTCTTTGGCGGTAGGTACCTACCTACTCTTCACTCATTAACTAAAAGGCTGTCACGCTGAAAGGAAACAAGCCGAAAACACGTGTTTTGCATTATATTATTATTATTCTTTTAAACTCGGGAACCCGGCAAATGACTCTATGCGCAGTAAAGGAAATTATACCATTGTCGTCGTCTTATTCGTGTAGTTTAACAAAAATTAAAACAGTTAAAAGCTCCTTAATGTATTGTTTATGGGCTTTACCATCTTTATATTATATTAGTATTCCGTTGTGTAATGCCGGACCCTTATGGGTAAAATATGTTTTATTTTATGAATAATTATTTTTAAGCCCGTAAATACGTAGGAGTAACTTAACCGTAATTAGGCGTTGTTTCTTATCTTGGCAGTGACACTTTTACTATTCACATTATATATATTATCTAATATTCGTATGAAGTATGGACAAGTGAGAATACGTGTAACTTCCGAAAACGAAATATGGACAATGATATGCGGACCAGTTCGTGACACGAGTGCAAATGGACGGAGGAGGAAGATCAGCAAGGAACTTCGGGAAGTACTGGGCCTAAACCTGTAAATTTAATAAATGTTAAGAGGCGGGGGAGTGGAATCGTAGCAGACGTTAACGATAAATCCATTATAATATCTATGGTACAATATTGTCAGAAACCCCCATATCCACATCTCCCCACCAAACGAAAAAAAAAAAAACAAATCCGAAATACGCCTTTGGTTCTGGCAATAATTATCTCCAATTAAACCGTTTTCATTTTTGTAATAGTGTTTGGAGTTTGTGTATAGGTCGCAAATAATAATAATACAATATCGATTCGTTAAAAACAAACTAGCCATTTATCTTTTAAATCGTCCAATATTATTGCAGAGACGGAGGACAATAACGACGCGCTCGGTTATAAATCGATTTAATTGAGTTTTATTCGTTTTTCGTTTTTTGTCCGCAACGGTTAACATTTTATATTCCATTCGATACACGCGTACGTGTCGTATATTATATTTTGTTACCTACGTTAAGATAACGCGTTTCTGTTTTTCGATCGAATATTTACGCGAAAGTACAATAATTTATTTTTACGATTTATCATATAGGGCACGGACCAATTTCGTCGAAGACGAACTTTTCAGTTTCTGGTCGGTGTGCGAACTGTGCCCTTATATTTTACGGTCGGTAAACCCATTTCATTACTACTGAATTTCTGCGGTTAGTACATCAATTGCAAAAATTAATTTTACGAAACGTTATTGTTATTACGTACATTTCCGCATGCAAGTATGAATTCGAGCGATAGACGAGTTTTCACTATCGGTCAGATATTTATCAGCCCGATTGTCTTGCTGCACACAATAACACTATATCTGTGTAGCTGTCTAGTTTAATGTTTGTGGTTACAATTTGGACCGTTTTAAACGGGCTCTTAGTGAAAACGGTAAACCGCCGTTAATTCTTTCTGTTGTTCAATTGTTTTAAGTTTCGAAAGTGTAGTAAAACAAAAAAACGGAATTGAATGGAGATGTACTGTTGTTAAATCGTGTCTTTGAAACTTAACTTAAATCATAAACGCGTAGCAATAAGCGTAAGTATTAATAAACAAATTGTTGCTTATTCCTTAAAAAGAAAAGCAATAGAACAAAATGTCGCTAAAAACGAAGAAGTGGAGAATATGTTTATAGAATGAAAATTCAATCAACGGATTAAAATGTTACTAAATTCACTATCTACACCGTTTATAACTATACCTCATCAGTGGGCATCGAATTCCATAAGTTTTCAACGTACAACTAATGCGTATGCATTTTTTAGCGCTTCATTTTCTTCAAAATTTTATTGTTCCCATTCAAATATTTCTGTCTTCGTAAAAGCAATTATAGAAACACGAACCATCACGTACATCGCAGTAAACAGTATTGAACAAGACAAATATATACGTTCAAACCGAACGTATATAACAAAAGCAGATTAGGAATCGAATCTGTTATTGAGAAATACATAATTGGAGCGATTGCACGCAAAGAATTTGGTAATATCAGATTTCCATTATTATTGTGAAAAAACTGACGAACATAATGAAAATAATAATTTAATTGCCAAACAAAAACAATTTATTTAAATGTGAAAAAAAAATATATTTTTTTATCTAGATATACTTTGTATATAATATAAGCATCAGATTATAATATCAGACGTAATATTACATTTTAGAAAAGGGCCACTGGTCTATCGACGCTAAAAGGTTTTTGCGAAATCGAGCTCTCGACAGATGATGTTTTGAGCCTAAAATTGGTTTATAAAAAGGTCGTTTTAGACGTAATTGGTTAACTCCCATTATATATTGTATTGCATTTAGGTATACACCATCGCCCCGCGTGTATTTTGTACGATGTTTAAAAATAATCACCGAATTAAATGAACTGTCAGTAAAACGCCCAACGAGAATAAAAAATGTGCAATTAAATAAAATCAATGTACAGTGAAATAAGCGCGTTAACACACGTGGATAATGATTGCTTTAAATGATTTTTTTTTTTTTTATACAAATTAATAATAATTAACGTGAACGAAATTGAATTAACGTCGCAAATAGCGACGCGTTTTGCTAAACGCACATAATTTATCAACTACAAAATTAAAATTTGATTTTTTTAAAATTTGAATTGTACAATTTGATACCCATATAATATGATTTATGATCCGCTCGTATCTGCAATGGTTAACACGAGCGTTCTCGAAATATTATATTCGGATGTTTGACACTCGCCGACCGCTGTATATCTCTATTTTGATGAAAGATCAATATAACAATAAATAGATCGAGCCTTATTTCAATGCTGGTACCAATAAAATTCGGCACTTTGCTACGATATGCGTCCAGTTTGAATGCGAACAACGACAAACGCGGTCTTATCACTAATCCAGTTTATTTAACGAGTCCGCCGTATCAGTTGTACACCGAATTATGTATAAGTAGGCGCGTTACAATATAATTTTTCGTCTAGGTCCTTTTAGATTCCGAGTGTATCGAGAGATCTATTTGTTTTTACTGTGACGAGTGCGCGTGTTTATTATTATTTTTTTTTTTTGTGCTGAAAACAACTATTCGACCAAAAATCACGGCCCAATCAAAATATGCCGATTTGTTTAGTTTTCAAAACAGTTTTCGTCGCGATCGAGGAACACCAACAAAGGAATAAAATAAAACCCGGCTAATATACAATCTAGTTATTTTAAATTTCTACTTGTTACGTTTTCTACCGGGAATCTTACCGGTACGTCTCCGTACTCTTTATTTCGTGTCTTTTTTGCTAAATACTTGAATTCGGTGTGATAGTCGGGCATTCTTGTATCTCGCTAAGGACCGGGTAAGACTCGAGCGGGTGCAAAATCGGCGTCTCTCTCACGCAGCCTATGTGCTCACAATTGAGCATACTTGGCACGATTACACTCACAATAATAACGCACGTTGAAGATTCCCCCACTATTTTCACGTCGTCGCCAAGCGGATATCCGGTTTTTTTCCCACCTTCCCGATGTCACCGCCATATTATAGATGTACCCGGACCCTTTGCTGGCATTAACTACCGTCCGCCTACACGTTTCTCCAGAAGTCAAGCACCCTTCCTTGTTCCATCTCATTCCACTTCCTACGGCGGTAACAATCCAATTCATCGAACGCCTTAATGATGCCTCTGTTACTTAATGACGGTGTCCTTTAATTCTTTCATTATTTCTTTCTCGTTGTGTACACATTTTTTACCGTTGCTATAAAATATATTAAATATCAACTTTGCGCCACCCCGCACCAATGAATACATGCGCATTGATATAGTATACTTGTAATTGCCGTCGGGCGTTGACGCGTGAAAATAAAACGCAGGCGATTTTTTCGGCAAACTTTTCAAACGAAATTCGTCTGTATTGTTGAACCGCGTATGTTACGGGTTTAAAAAATGAAATAAGAAAAAAAAAAAAATTTACAAAGTGTTGCTATTATAGCGCCGGATCGATCGGGCCGCCGCGGTCTTAACCGCGCGGCGATACAAAAGGTTCCGTCGACACGGCGATGACGTCTGTTTACGGTCGAACGGCGGCAACGGCGGCGGATGATCGCCTTTGCGCCGTCCCGGTCGGCGGCGATCGAAAACCCGCTTATGTATCCACCTTATCGTGTTTTCGTATATATATACACACACACTTACAATGTAATATATACGTATATATGTATATATACTTAGACCGAAAGTACGGGGACGGTCGCGGTGGGGATCGTCGAACGGTACCAATAACGAAGTTTAATCGGAGGAATGTTTAATTTCGGACGTCTAAACGCGCAGTGTATACATATATATATGTATACAGTGTGATATAGGTGTACAGGACCCGCAGTCCCGGGGATTTCGATTAAAACGCGTCCGAAAACGGCCCGTCGACGAATTCCCGACAGCCCCGGCACGGTAGCCCACGCTGCGCGTATGATAACAGTGATTATAATAATAATGATAATAATTGTTTTCTGACGGTTTGTAGCCGACGGTAACCTCCCCGCGCCATCGGCGGCGGCCGTCTCAATGCGATGCACGGACGCACGCGGCAAAGCGTTGTACGGATGAAAGCGATTTTCAAACGTTCGCGCGCGTGTTTGGACGCGTCCCGACGAAAACTTCGGGCGAACGGTGTACGGCGTTTTATCGCGATCGCGGTACACGCCGACATTACAAACCGATAATTGCGGGTGGAGAACGGCATTCGATTTTTCCGCGTTCCGTATTACGATATCGTGGACAATTTTTTTTTTTTTTACCGGTCAAATTTGATAAAAACTCGAAAACTCAAAACCTGTTGTTTGTATACGTACGTCTTCTCATAACGTAACGAAGGAAGTATTGTAGTTTTACCGAAATGTGTAGGCTGTTTAGATTTTTTTTTTTTTTCCCGGAACATAATTTTTCGGTTAGTAAAAATGCTCTCATTTTTCCACGCGATATCACAAAAAATTCTAATTTTACGGGTGGTGGTACTTTAATCGCATTTTTTAACAGTTCGCTATCCAGATCATTTTTATTTTAGGCCTTTTTGATTTTCGTTGATTTCTGGGATTCTTCGACCACAAAGGGAAAAATAAAAACTCAACGTATACTGCACCGCTCAGAATTGTTTTTACAATCATTTATTAACTAAATTACCCTATACGTATATCCCCTATTCGTATATCGTTAGGAAACTATAGGTAGATAACTATACTCTCCGTGGCAGCGGCCTACCCGTGATTCCGAATTAAAAACAAAATACGCAGATGACGTGAATTTTCAAAATTTCCGTTACAATTAGAACTTTAAACTCTTATAAAAACAAAAAAAAAATAAAAACAACAAACCTATGCCAAACTTGTTTTTTCACTATACTAACACGACAACAAATTACGTTAACGATTGTGTACTTTATTTTTGACAAGAACAACGCCAAATACTCTAAAATATCAACGGATATTTCGGGAAATTTTTTGTGTACAAATTTCGACGCCCACAGAATTTTATTCGTGATGTCAGTTGATCGAGAGCAGCGTCTCACAACCTACGAAAATTAAACCCGGGCACGTCATACTGCACGTCACATTCTTCTCGACTCTATTCTCGGAAAAATACGACGTACGTATACCATCCGTCTCGCCCGACAGCAATTATTGACGTTCGACGACGACGACTTTGTTTTTTTTTCTCCTTTTTCGAGTAGTCGAAATAAACGACAACTGTATAATATAAAAAGCTGTCTGTGCTGTGTATCCCCGTCACACCATGTTTTCCCGTGGCTCTCCGAAACCTCCGTGTTTCTTACGGGAAAGCAGTATCCACGGGACCTTATAACAACTAACGTGGTAACTATAGAATGGTATCGGAAAAAACAATTTATAAATAAATACCTTGTACAACTAAGTAGAGATAATAAACGCATAATAAATTAAACGTGTTCGAGATTCAAATGCGAGTCCGCTAGGGTGAAGTGTAGTGTGAATGTCAAGGTGAAACCGTATTTATAGAGCGTGGCGGTGATTTTTAGCGTACCCTGCAGCGTGCAGACGGTTTTTGTATTAATTTAATGTATAAAAAATTAAGAAAAAACAACAAATAATTGAACATTCGTGCCAATATTGGCCAATATTATAAATATTCTGTGAAAATGGCAGGTTTCAAAGTTTGTTCGTAACCGAAATACAACAAAAAATCAAAATCGAAAATAACAATGAAACGTTACTGTTGTAAATTTTTTCGGTTTTCTAACAAAATATTTTTAAGTTTTTCTCAATTATTATGAAAGCATATCGAAAAATTATCTACTAAATATACCGACTGTAAATTGAAGATTCTACAAAATAATACTATATTATCAGTTTTTTATTATGATAAGATGTTTGGTATAAAAGTTGTATTTTGCACACAGAAATAATCAAAAAACTCGCACATTTCTTAGTGTAAGCAATACATTTCACGCTAATCTCAAAATCTAAAATTGTTTTTCCCCTCCAATCCAAAATCTTCATTCCATTTTCACTTCAAAAAAAATCTGTCTGACTCTACTACTACTACTACTGTTATAACTACAGTTTTCAAATCTATTCATTTTGCGGATTTACGCCTATACGGTAATACAATATGCGGGTGACACTAACATTTTGTCTGCGACAAGTTCGACACGACGACGCTAAATTTTTTATTAGATGCCGCTGATTTTATAAACAAATAAAATATCATAAAAACGACGGAATTTTTATTTTTCTGTTATTATTTTTCGAACCGTGCATTACTTTTAATCGATTGATAAAAATAAATGACCGTGGCAGTAATATAACCGGATATACATTTCGTATTAATGTACTATAGACATAAAAAATTATAACGACTTACCGAAGTTTGATAATAATAATAATAATATATAATACGACGTCTGACAGACGTTTCCGTGGGTTTTTGATATTAAAACGCAACGCCGTGCTGTTCATTTTTCACTTACCTGCAAAAAAAAAAACAAATCGTTGAAACGTGCTTAAATAATAGTTATGCGTACGGTGGTAAAATTTCGGTTTAGTATTTGTTTGCAAATCGTCAATAGTATTGTTAATGACGAATCGTTAATTAAGGATTAACAGTCTTTAACAAACGGTCAGGCCAACATAATTTAGTCGAATTTTTCCCGAAAATAAACACTATTGAACCGTGTTGTGTCCGATGCACACCGTATAAAGAACACGAATGTTTTTTTTATCTATTTATTCCGCTCGTTTCGGATACCTTATGCGGTTTCCTCGGAACCAAATGAGTTCAAACTCGGGATTTCGAGATTAGTGAATCGATGATACAATTTCAATAGGATTTTAACAATGGTGTTTCGGAAGGCGACCGTTGGTTGTTTAGCTTCGTAAATCATTGCATAACTCCTAAATGACGGCTGATGGCATTTTGTATGTCCGTGATGTAAATATATCAAGGATAAGCCTTTTAGAGGTTTCATTTACCAACCTTTTCCGCGACTCTTTTGTATGCTTAAATTTAATGAAAATACCGGGTTTTTAATTATGTCTACCATACTAAAATGTAATAAAACAATGATAACTATAAATATTGTAGATCGATATGATGATAAATAATAATAAAAAATAGATAAATATTGTAATGATGATTCAAAAAAAGCGTTGGATAGACGGGAAAATGCGGAAATTGAAAACTGTGCGTATAATGAATTGGGAATGAAACGTGAACAATCGAAATGAATGGAGGTGGATGGTGGTGATGGCAAAAACTCTTAAAGAGTTGTGATGCCAATGAAGAAAAAAAAAGACGGAAACATCAGAATTAGACTGCGCCATTTTTGAAATGAACGACATATTGTTTTAGTTAATAACTGTTACTGCGCGTAAAATAATAATAGCATATGTACACCCAGTATAATATATTGTTATTAATTTTTATAAGGTTTTATCGTTTGGCGCTCGAAACTCGTGAAAATCACGCAGTTCCGTGACGTTTTTCGTTGGAAATTAATTTATTTTCCCTTTACAATTTGTTCGTACGTATAATATTTGTAACAGAAATATAACTATTTATTATTTAGCTTATGGTTAACGAAAATATATAAAAAAAAAAATATATATAAGTACGTATTACATTAAAAAAATTCCAACATTTTCCGATATAATTAATTTATAGATTATATATATAAAAAAAGTAGTTTTATTCTCTTTCCCTCTTTTTCTCTCTCTGTGCGAGGAAACACGTTCTGTAGAAAAACATAATCAAAAACCGTCCGTCCAGTCGTCTGCAGTCGTAATTTTATTTAATAATAATTTATAATATACAGACGGGTAATTGAACGCGCGTAGACCGACAATATATAGTAGGTACTTTATAGGGGTAATTTTTTTTTTTATTATTATTTATTTCCCAGTCCGATGCACCGGAAATCACGAAATTCTGAAAAATTAATGAGAAAAAATTCAATCGAGTGTTAAAATTTTAATTTCGAACTGCAGCAAGATAGTTTTTCACTTGACGGCTGAAATAATTTATGAGCTCAACTTTACAGTGATTCTCAAATAAAAATAAAAATCAACAACAACTTGTACCTTTGTTCCTCATTCAAACGGGCCGAATTCAGGGCATTTGAGTTTTTTGCTTTTCTACGTTTTATTGACGAGCAAACAGTGCACAACTAAGCATAAGGAGTAAACCCATAGGTATTTTAGAACCACTTCGTTAAAATGTTCCGTTTTCTTTTTGTGTTCTATACAAACGTATTTTTTTCATTTTACAAAATTATCATTACTTAAAAACCTGTCAAGTATTAGTTGTATTCGTGCGCAGAGAATTTCGTAGGATTTAAATCTTTCTTGTAGATCTCGAACAGAAATTTTCCCGACTCAATGTCAGGGGCGGAGTGAATAACAAATTCAGTCCGAGAGATTAAAATGTATCTAAACCGATCAATCGAATTCGTACCTATCTACCAAATAAAATTTGTCTTGCGTTTTAATTTGAATCGGTGACGAAGTTAAATCAATGAAAATTAATACGGTTTTAAAGATAGGCGATGATAATAAGAAAGGGGAGGGCGCTGACCAAAAAATGGAGAAATGTTATTTTATAAATATACAACGAAACCGAATTCCGGAATAATAAAAATTATTAAGCGATATTCTAACAAAAAAATATTTTCCGGATTTAAATATAAAACAAAAATATACTATACAAAATACGAAATATTAAGAACGACAAAGAGCCAACAGTTTTATAATAATCGAATGTCTTAGACAATTTTCTGTTGTTTTGTTTTGTATTAATTATTGTTTGTCTTCTTTGTACCGCAAAAAAAAAAAAAAACATCTCGTCATATTTCCGTTTGCGTGATAATATTATGTTGGATGAACATAATTTAATGGCGTATATTTTATGGGTTGTTTTTATTTATTTATTTTTTTTTTTTTTTGTAGTGGAAACTCATCCCCGGTATTTTTACGTGCAAGAGACCTTCTATAGAAGGTGCGGCCGGGATAAAAAGGAGTAGGAGGAGCGGCAGAAATAGGTGGATACGAAGCGGAGTGGATCCGAGATAAAAACTTAATTGGTTTTTTTTTTTCACAACAAAACATAATTAATTCGTTTTTAATAAACACCCGCGAATCGCGGGCTTTCTCGCTTTTGATATCAGCTCGTCGTTGTAGTTTTTCCCCTACTAATCATTTTCACGATTCAATAATAATAAATAAATTGTATGAATTATAATTATTATGTTCGTCTGCGCTGAACGGGAACGACGTACCGATCGTCTATTAATATAAATACAAAATGATTCGATTACCGAACGAGGATTTCAAGAAAATTCGATTTCTGTTTTTACAATATAGTCCCGGAATCGTTCGAGCCTCGTTTTAACATCACATTTTCATATCTGCACATCTAAAATAAATGCTCGTATATTATTATTATTATTATTATTATTATGCGCCTACTATATAATGTTTTTTATGTATATTATATTCGGTGTATTGGCTTCGGGGGCTTAACAATGACTATTATATAGTGTGTGTAGTGAGAATAACCGTGTTTCCGTCAACCAAGCGGAATTAATGCGTTCTTCAAAAAACTTTTCGCCCGCGAAACACGACTCGCGAAACGTGAAAAATCGACGTGTTACTAATATATTATAATATTCTGTATACAACGGCAGCGTGCATATATTTGTTTTGTGTGCATATTATGTGTGTGTGTGTGTGTGTGTGTGTGTGTGTGTGTGTGTGTGTGTATTTCTGTACGTGTATTCGATCTGCGGGATGGTTTACAGTTTTTTCGATTCTCAAAATCGACCGACCGTTTGCTATCTAAAACGGTGCTATCCAATGATGTTCTGCAATGCTCCCTGGGTGTGTCTTGTACACGTGCTGTGTCCAATAATTTCCTATCGACATATTTTAACCGTTTCCATCAAATTGAAATTTTATTTTTCAACGCTATATATTAAATTATTCAATATATTAAATTATCTAGCAGTCCCTCGTTAGTTTTTCTATCCATTTAGACTGTTTTCTCCGTTCTCGATACCGTATCACCATATATTAAAAATATTTTATAGTTGCAGAATCATTATCCGAGACACAGAGATACGGCACGATTAAATTCATAATTTCTATATACAGGACTGAAAACGAGTGGTTTATCAATACAACCACACTGTATCGTTACATGATACGTATCGGCGATTTACGAGCCAATCACAGTCGCATAAATGCTATTAAAATTATGACATGTAAGGGCTTTCCGGGGTGACAAAATAAATAGCCTCAAAAAAAGAATTGTATCAACTATTCGAATTCGAATTTGCCATCGGTATACTAATTAAATGCTGACCGTTAACTAGGATAATATGGACTGGCAACGGAACCAATTTCTTCGATCGGGTTTTTCGATGAAATTTTCGTGGAGGGGTAATCTAGAAGTCAAAGCGCTATCTGATGTAGAGTAATAACACGTGTAAGCTATAACACAATAATATAAAATTGGCAACCGCATAACCACGGACTTAGTAAAACAATAAAAAAGTGATAAGTGTGTGTTTGAATCATACGTACGCTTCAAATGCACGCATTCTGGCAGCGTATATTTCAGAAAAAAATCACTAAAATCGTTGCGGTTCTTGGATGTCCCCCCCCCCTATAGGTATTCTCCGTCAAAACACTCGGCCGCACCGTTACCAACCGCATACTATGTCGTTGTCAGTTCATATAATCTTAGTTCATGATGCTGATGAATGCGCAAAAGTGCCCCTGGATCGAAACGGACAAGATTATCGACTTTACTACTTCGACATGTGGCTTAACCAATATGAATTTTGTTTTTATAACAAAATTCATTCATACCCAACGTCGTTTTTCGACTAATGATGGTTTTAGGCTTTAGGTTTACACTTGGGATATTGAATTTCTCGGAGTAGTACGAGGTTTGGAAATTAAACGAGATTTTTATGTTTCGAAGTTGTTATACCCGGATCTCGATTTCTTTATCCGTTTTATTTGTGTTTTCTCATCATCCAAGAGTACTCCGCTTTGAAACTAACAGCTAACTTTGAATATATTTATTATATATTATAAAAAATACCTATATAATATATATATATATATATGTTTTGTGTCATTATGTTAAGAACCGAAACGATAAAAAAAAACCGATATTCGTAAAATATATGTTGAAAAAAAAAAACTGATTTCCTTCGTATTGTTCCCTATTGACTGGTATTATCTGTTAATATAATATTTCGAGTTCAATTATTGAATTTAATGTGAATGTGTCATATTAGCATTCACTCCATACAAAAAAAAAAAAAAAAAAAAATCACCGAATGTTAATATTATGAATTGTACAGCCTAAACGCTAATATTATTACGATTTCAAGGTAAAAATCATCAATAGTTTATCAGTAATTCAAAATTGGCACAACAGAATTTATTTTCAAGGGGCGGGAAACAGGTTATAAATTTCAAAATATTATCTCAACGAAAAATTTTAGTTCCTTTAAAGGTAAAATAATTTGTCTAGACGAGAAAATTATCGTAAATAATTAAACTTAGACTTCGTATGATTTAATTAATGAAAATTATATAAACGATTCGTTGTTAGAAAATTTCATATTTCCGGGGGGAGGGGGAAGACGAGGGTTGATACACCGAGTTCAAATATCTCGATAGCATTTGTAGTTCAATATAATTGAATTATTTAACTACGTTCTTCAAAAAAAAAAAAAAAAAAATTGAACGGTTTCTTATTTCAAGGTTTTGTTTATAATTTCATTTTAAATTTTCATTTATAATTTGTTAGTTAATTTACTAATTAAATTCACAAGCAAAGTTAATTAAATTCGCAATTTCATATAACACCTATATATTCCATAGTCTTTTAAATTCTAATTTTCAAAGTCAAAACTATTTATATTTTATAACGTTATATTGAAGTTATAGTTTCAAAACGTATAACACGAGAAAGTCTCTAGTGAACTTCCTGAAATTTTAGGTAAGAAAATTAAAAGATTATTTTTTTAAAGACGAGAAATGTTAAGAATTACTGTTACAAGTTTATTCCTATTTAATGTAAAAATAATAATGAAATAATCGAATTTTTAAGAAATATATAGGTAGATAAACATATTTTAAACCTACTGTAAACTTAAAAGTATGTAAAACTTTCTCAATAATATGTCATTTTAAAACTTAAGAAAAATAACAATATAATATTCAATGACAGGCCAATAACATTCGCTGTTGGAATCAATAAAAAAAAATGAAAAAAATACATAAATAAATAATACAATGTCAGACAGCCGTATACTTTATAGTTTACAGTACGAGTATATACCTAGTTTTTATACTGTTTTATTAAAACGACATTGAAATAGCGAGGAAAAACAATAATATTACGTAGTATTGTCGTTCGAAGCAACTATGCCGTTTGGAATAAAACAATAATATTCCGAATCTGTGAAATTACAGTGTTCACTGTTGACACTGATTTTTCGGTTAGTTTTCGATTCTGAACGCGAGTTGACGCGGGGAATGTACACGGTTAACTACGATGCGCGTGTATCTTTTTTTTCCTTTTAAAATCAGAATACTCGCCCTAATCATCAACTTCAGCGTTAGTTTTATTCAATTTATTATCGTGTAATGTGTATTATATCCATTGCTTAGTCAGCTGCTTTATTAAAGATAATGTAATTCTTGTGTCGAGGAGTAGCGTATATGTTATATTATTATTTACTATATAATAGTGAATATGTTACGCATACTTTTTTGACATTAAAACTTATAAGAAAATCGTTATTGTACTTTGATGAGTTTATGAATGAACTTACATTGTATAATAATTAATTTTATATTATGTATCCGTTACGCATGCCCGGAATAAAATTCATTTATCATTTGAAAAGCAACTACGAAAAATCCAAAATAAACCCGCTGCGCGTGAACGCTTAACATGATTTCAAACATGTGATTTTGAATTTTAACATTAGGTTTTCGATGCCCTAAGCTGATGGTAAATCGTGTCCATTTGATACCTAGCATTGCAAACCACGCATGCCCGATTGTCACGATACCGTGCCCACCCAGGGTGCGAACTACGTCCGGCCTTTTTTCGAACCTCAAAGTAGCCGCTATCATACGTTTTTTTTCTAAATTCACGTGTAATACTATAATTCTCATTCTGTGCCTACACACTCGGTTAGGCTAAATACAGAAATGACCGCGGAAAAAAAAAAAATGCAATTTTTTCATCTGGAAATGTTTGCATTTGACCATTATTACCTGCGAGTATAATATTATTTATTATTGCGATTATAAAATCTGTTTATTCTCCAAAAGGCATAAGCGTAACTAGGTGAGTGCTAGGAGGTATTTAGCACATCCGTGTTTAAAATCACCATTCCCGAAAAAACCCAATAAACTTTTTCATAATAACGAATAAATATTTTATCGTTGTATTTCGTGTGATTGATGAGCGGAACAAAATACAGCTA